AATACTCATCAACTTGTTTTTACTTTAAAACATCACCACTATAATTATTGCTCTTACCACATTGAAACAAACTGTCTGGAGATCAACTCCCAAGACTTTGTTCAGTAAAAGTTTCATTTCTTTAAAACTGGTAATTGTGTGTGTGCATGCATATATTAAGTGCAGCTGACACTGGGTCTGTTCATTCTTTTGGTATCAGTGTAATATCATTTCTTAGCTCAAGAAAATGTTGGCATGAATAATGGACTGTTAATGTTATAAGGAGGTGGGACATGGGGATGGCTGGTGGATTTTCTCTCTCTACTATTCCATAAATGGAGGATCGGAAACAAGTCTGCTGTGTTGTGTAGTAATTGGTAGTTGTAGTGCATCAGATTCTTTGATATGTAGTGAGTGGTGTGGCTTGGTAGTACAAAAAAAAAATGCACAACTCCCTGAAATGCAGAATGTGTTTTGTCATTGCAGAACAGATGCCCTTCCCCATCAGCTTTTTACTTCTCTACTTTGAGCAAAAAGATAATAAAAGCATGAACTTTTTCTTTCCTTTCCCTTTCTTTAAAGAAATTTCTATTTGATCATTTACTTATTCTGTACTTTATTAAACATATCTGAATTGAAGTTGATAAATTTCAGCCTTAGATGTGTGAGGTAACTCAACAATTTCATTTTTTAATGATTTTTTTTAAGAAAATAATTTAAAGTAATACAAAATGGCTTCAAATTCAACAGATTCAGGTCTTTTCACATAGTTGTGGATTTTGTTTTAAATCCATTATAGCAGTAAGCTCATTACAATTTTAGCTATAAAATGCTTTCACGTTTCATTTGAAGAAAAGCATATTTTATAACATTATGCAAAAAGAGCATGAAATCGTTTTATGAATGCTTAATTACTGACTTTATTATAATTAATACAGGTTTTTCCAATATTGCTATCATAGAAAATCTCTTTCATTAATTTACTATCTTTGGCTCATGTTTTTCTCTGTTAATAAAGGAAAAATAATCACATCATAAGATCCTATTCAGTTTATAAAGATCTGTTATAATTTGTTAAAAGATTTTAATCTTTTGGATTATATATTTTATTCTTCATAAATATTGGCTCTTTTATAGAAAATGTATAAGGTAAGGGTTCAGAATTGTTTTATTTTAATCTGTAAGCTAGTCATTTTTATTAGAATAAAATTTAATTTTCATTATTTTTATACATAAAGGCATATTTACTTAAATTGTAGATATTTTATCATTGAATATACAATGGAAGTGATGTTGACTAATGACAATTTTTGAATATTTATTTAAAAAAATGTCTTTGATTCCCCAACTTCTGGCTAGTAAACCTGAACTATATAATGGACACGGTTAGAGATTTTCTGAGATGAGGAGTTATTTTATTTTGAACTAAACCTTTTATTTAATCCTCAAGAGTGTTGACTGTTCTCATTCCACTGTCCTGTAGATTAAATAAAGGGTTCAGTTCAAAATTTCCTGTAGGTTACCCAGATCAAAATACACCTGATGAAGACCAGAAGTCACAATAGTCCAAAAGGTTAGAGATCTCTGAATAACTTTTTAAAAAAAATATATTTCATGTTCTATGCTATCAGACAAAAAATATTTTGTTTTAAAGCAATCATCAAGCTATTACTTTATTCTGCTCAATCTTTAGGGAGAAATTTTATGCTTAACAAGGTGAAATTATATCTACTTCTATAATACTAGTCCCTTGCAAATATATTTTAATAATTGCAGTTGCTGATTTATAAACATTTTTAAATTACATTTGTAATATGGATGGTAACTCTTACCAATTTGGTCTCTTTACTGTATTTTTCTTAGTGCAATGGTTAGCATGCTAGTTGTGCAAGCCATAGTTAGTATATTGGCCTCACTAAGGATTCCAGCAGTCTGGGCTTCTGCCAAAATTGCTTAAATCCAGTAAATAATTAAAAATAGAGTAATTCTGCAAATAATTGTCAGTAAGTTATTTATTATTATTTATAATCTTGTGTTATTTATGCAAAGTTCATTGGTCTGATTCCAATAACCTAAAGTTCCTCTGGTGAAAAGTTAACCCCCTTTTAGTATAAATAAGTCATTTATATTAGTTATTATTTGTAGCAGATCAAACACAAATTTCACTTAGCAATTAAAGACAGAAAATGATAAGTTGATAAAAGGTGCCTATGTTGAAGGTTGAGTTAAATAGATGTCAATGACTGGATATTTTATGAATATTTTCTGCTTTCTCCAAGGTTCTGGGTTTTGTCAAAAGAGAATATACCCAAACGGGCAGTTCTGAAGGGGAAATCGATATCACTCACTAAGTACTGTATGTGGACGTTACTAAAAGAAGTTTCAAATTTTGTTACTTCGTTTATTTTTCCTTTCCCTTAAATATATCAATGAGTTGACTGCGGTCAGTTGGCATCGAGTTCAGTTCCTTATCTACTGAAACAAATTGCTTCCACCTTTAATTACCTCCTTTTGACACTTGTCCTCAATTCATGAGACTGCATTAACATTTCCCCCCTCTAAGAATTAAAGAATGCTGGGAAACCTGTTTACAGTCGATTTAGGAGGCGACTGTTAATATTATCGCTGTATGCGTCAATGGTAGAAGGTGTTCCAGGAATCTAGGTTGTCTGTTTTGGTTTGATCATTTTAGTCTGATACCAAATTTCCCTGTCAGCAGGAAATCATTTTTCTTCAAGGGACGCAATCATAAATTAAAAATTTCTTGTTACCTGAAAAAAAAAAAAAAAAAAAAATTTGCTGTGATGTTTACTGCTATGTATCCACTTGTTCTATGAAATTTTGTTGAACATTGTCTTATACATAATTTTTTTCTTAAGCCTATAAAACATCCAAGCATAAATTGATTCACAACTTGGTTATTTTCCACTTTGAACACTAACAAGATCATACCATGTCCCCAAATTTTAATTAAAAAAAAAAAAAAAAAATGCCAACCCAGTTAAATAAATTGACATTTTTTTTTAAAATATCAAGTTATGAAGTAATCTTGCTTTTGATGCTTTGTCACATTATTAGTTTTTTTTGGAAGATTTATAAATTCCTATGAATTTATCTACCAGAAATCTTAATCCTTGTAAATGGGCCTTTGTTTCAATTCATACCTCTAACTCAAATCCTAGAACACCTTCGCTGCCACTGGTAGTAGGAACTGCTACAACTGTTGACTCCTCATTCGTTTTTCTTACCTTCTTGTGCCTATAAATTAGCCCCAATGGACACTTTGAATTGAGCTGTTTGGTTCATTTGAAACTTGTGACCATTGTAATTTTACAGGCGGTGCTGGCTTTTTAAAGTCCTTTATAGACAACCTGAAGCCATCTTGTGAAACCTTATAGGGTTGTTGCACCAGTGTGTGTGTATGTATGTGTGTGTGTGTGTGTGCGTGCGTATGCTAATATTTGTGTAGGCTGTGGGTCAGGGACAACATGCAGTGTATTTCCTCAGATTTGACAGAAATGAAAGACATTAATTCCATATTCAATAAACCAATTGCAAAAGAAAAGTTGCAACAAAGGTTTAAAACCCTCACTGCCATATTTTAATTTTTTTTAAATTTGAAGGGGAAAAAAAAAAATTTTTTTTTCCTAAAACTGTTTGCATGTATCAAGTGAACATTTTTGAGTTTGAGTGACTTTTGCATGTGTCCCTTTGACCTTCCCTAATGGGAAAACCAGTCACTGCAACTCAATTTGGAAATGCTACCTGCATGTCCAAGGTTACAATTTCCTTATTTAAAAAAAAAAAAAAAATGTGACATGAGTCCAGTTTGTGTGTAAACCAGGTGGATGTCAGAAACAGAGGGGGGTAGGTGAGACAACCATTATATATAAAAGATTGGTCTTCACACCTGGTGTGTACATACAAAAAATAAAAAAAAAATTGAAGTAGTTGCATGACACGGTTACCCATTCAGATTTCAAATTGATACCTCAGAATCAGGTAGAGATTTGGAAATCTCGCCTTTTTGGGTTTTTTTTTTTTCCTCTCTTGTAGATGTGCAAATATATTATTTAGGATATTAGAAAGCATCACGTTTTTTTTTTTTTTTTATAAGATATTGTATAAAAATTGATAAAACTTCATTTATGAACTCATTGTCGCCTTTCAAACTTGTTTTCTTTTATGATTTTTTTTTTTTTATTTAAAAATAAAAGTCTCTAAATGTATATACATTTGCACATATATACTTTATATGTTGAATAAACATTGACTTCTTTTTCTCAGGAAACTGGTACCACTGCTTATCTACACAAACCAAGCTCCTTAACTTTAGAAAAACATTAAGAGCTTGGAATCTGGCAAATAACTGATGTTGTACTATATGGTAAGCATTTAATAAGTGAATATTTAAAGACATTTTTCTTCATTATTTTTGTGAACAAAATTTTGTTCATTACATTGTTATTAAAGAAATAATGGCGTGAGCAAATTTAAATGAGAATTATCCAAAAAAGTCTACACAATCTCCTAGTCTGAATGTAACAGAGAATCTTTATTACACAATATAAAAAGAATTGAAGCATTTCTAAAAATATTAAAGAGCTTGGGTTTTTCTACATTATATATTTTCTTTTATGATTTGGATCACTTCCCATTGAATGCAAGCTTTTGATAAGAGTAGTCAGGATACAATGAAGGAAAAGGAAATCCTAAAAACTAAAAACTGGTTTTATTTTTATTTATTTTTTTTTTTTTTGAAAATGCTGTGTTTCTTGTACAGTTTATTTTCCAGCCATGACCAGTGGATTCTTTTCCCCCATTCTTAGGCAGAGGAAGGGTGGCAATTTTAGCCAACAGTCACAGCTTCACTTCATTTTAGTCTTTGTCTCCACTTTCTTTAAGTGAAGAGAAAAATCTGGGTCTCACGCACATTCAGAGGCAACCACACTGTCACAGACATACACACAAATTTGCTGGGATGAAAATAGTGAAATGAGAGCAGGAAGAATTGAATGATTCTACGTTCGTTCCTTTTTCTTGATTGGCCGTTTGCTTATGTGTTTGTTGATGATGTCCAGGACATGTTGCTTGTGATCAAGAATTTTCAGCATGGACGAGCGTGCCTCTGTCAGTTGGTCAATCACCAATTTACAGCGCTGGATGTTGGCCTGCAAAGTGAGAAACAAAATTCATTATCAATTCTGTTACAAAATTAAGTCCAAATTTCACACTAATTCTAAAAGTTAAAGTACGTAAATTTAAATTATTTTTTTATTATTTATCTTCAAAAGGATAAAATTAATCCAATTTAAATTTAACATAATGTAAACCTTTAATTTCAGTTAGAAAAAATATATACACAATTGTTGCAAAAGTGCTTTTCACCTATATCGCTGCATCATTCTATAGGATATAAAATAGTTAATCATATAAGAAATATCTTAATTAGGCATTTATCAACATATGTATAATATTTTTTTTGTTTTATTTAATGCAATTTCAAACATCACTATCTGGATGGCTTACCACAAGGGAAATGCTAAGTTTTATTAAAACAAAAATTATTCTTAAAAAGAAGTCACACCAATCCAGTATTAAAACTTTCATCTCAATGTCGGATAATAAAAAGTTCTACATTGAGAAACTGATTAAATTAATAAGCTTAGCCAAATATTTGAAACCAAAACTGGAAGATTTTATTGTCAGGCTACAAAAAAGTAAATGATTGCAAATAATCTACCTGTGTGAGTTCATGTAATTTAGTTTCATCAGAGTCCATTGTACCCTGTTTTGGTGAGTCCTTTGGAGAAATAGTTTTTTGCAATTTACACATCTGATTGCAGATTGTTTTTTCCATTTCATTCTGAAAAAAATAAAATTTTGCATTTGAGTACAATTTTTTTTTTTTCCCCAATTATCAAATATAAATTTGAGTTAATAACTAAAGTGATTTAAACTTTCTACAAAATACTGATCACTTAGGCATATCACTAAAAGAGCTTCATATCAAAATAGAAGAGAAAATCATCATGCAACTTTTTCTTAAGTTACATAACTGATAAAATATAAGTTAGATAATTTGCTTGAATTCTCAAAAACTAACTACACCTTGTATTTTTCCAATATATCTTTTAGGAGCCACTCAACACTAGTACCATTTCACTTACTACAGGCAATGTTTTTGTATGAAAATTCATCAGGATAAAATTATAACCTTGTTCTTACAACTAAATATGCTATATCTAGACGACTTAGTTGGTTTCTTGAATTTGTTTAATGCATTATCCAATTTACAAGAAAAATGTCAGGAATTTACCATATCTTCCAGTTGAGTAGCCAAAAAGTATAACTTCCAGCCACTGGCCTTCTGCAGCACTCCTCGTTGATTTGATAATTCACTTACTGTAGCCCGTTTATCTTCTGCAAACAAACAGATGAATTTCACAAATTCTATCTTTTCCGCACATTATTTCTTAAAAGAAAATTGTTAAAAATAACCAAAGAAATATATCTTTGAAATGTGAATTGATATTTAATTGTGCATTGACAAAACAATGAAAAAGATTTTTTTTTATTCCACTTAAATACTTTTACCCAAATAAGGTATCATTATCAACAAAGATAAACTTTGTTTTACTTATGGTGATGATCAGACAGGTTTGCAACAGAAACTTATGTGCTGGGAAAACAAAAACTATGCATATGCTTAAGTGAATGGCGGGAGACAAAAATGTTTACAATAAGCAAAGAATAAAATCTGTTCCCATCATATAAACACTGTACTTCTACTTGGCAACATTCTCATCATATATTAAATATACTTGAAAATTCAATAGTATATTGTTTTCTATAGTTTGTGTATTTGCCAATTTCCTTGTTATTCACAAAATGATAGTTCCATCAAGTTCATGATTATAAAAGTAAAATCAATAAGCTCCCTTTCTTTTTAAAAAGAAAACAAAGTGTGTGTGTGTGTGTGTGTATATATATATATATATATATATATGTGTGTGTATGTATCAAAATTACAATATTGTCATTATTACATAGACTAGGTAGCAAAATTGTTTAATTTTTGAAAATATTCTGTTGCTTTGTACATTACTGAGTGACAAAATACAATTATTTTTACCTTTGCATTTAACATCTGAGTGACGTTCAAAATGATTGGCCCGGACTTTCCATGTCCTTACATAGCATTTTAGGAGGGAGAGTTTGGTTCGCAGTTTCTCAGTCGTCCACCGTACACCTTCTTCATCTGTGTATTCTATCAATATTTTAAATACAAAACAGCAAAAAAATGACTTCTTTAAACAGTCAACTCCTTCAATTATTGAAAAAGAATATTTTTATCATAGTAATTCGATAGTTACATTTTGACTGCTTATTAGAAGTGACAAATGTTTAGCATTTTTTTTGTTTTTATTTATATACTATGCTAATAACTTAACTGTCAAAAATTCAATATTTCATTTCCACTGCAAAATATCTGTCACAATTAAAATTATGTCAGGGGGGAAAAAAAAATAATGACTTAAAGAGACAGTAAAATTAAGCAATATTTTCTATGATAATTCAGGAATTTTAACTTTAAATATTAGTAATAAGTGTTAAAATAATGGGGCTACTAAATGCAAAGAGTTGCTGACCAAACATCAATTTTTTTTTTTTTTTTTTTTTTTTAAATCCTTTTCAGTAACCCCATAGTATTATAGTTTTCTGTTTTGGTTTTTAAATGAATATATATACGAGGTCTGATCAAAAAGCATCAGGTCTGGTGCTATAAAAAGAACAACACACATCAATTTAGCATTTAATCTCCTTCAGAGTAGTCCCCCTTCTGAATCAACACACTTTATCCAGCATCATTTCCATTTATGAAAACATTCTTGGAACTCTTTTTTGGGATAGGATGCAGCTACCTCATCACATTCTCTTAGATTTCAAGATGTCATGGAAATCGTTTTCCAAAAATCAAATCCCACTTGAAAGGAACGAGGGAACCGTCACAAGATTTAAGATCTTCTTTGACACAATCAAGGAGATCCTGTGCAGCTGAAACCAGATTTTCTTTTTAGTCAACTGAAAGCAATTTTGGCAAACATACCCAAATTTTCAGTGAGAATGGATTGAACTGAACCGTAACTAATTTTCATATCCTCCAACAACCCACGCATGGTGATTCAATGATCTTTCCAAACAGCTACATGCACATCTGCAATATTTTTGTTAGTTCTGCTGTTTGCAGGTCACACAGAACGTACATCACTGTTGATATTTTGTCAGTCATCTTGGAAATATATGAAGCACTTGTACACTCCTCTCCATACACTTTCTGCAACTTAGTGTAGGTCTCTGCAGAGTGTCATATAGCTTTTGGCAAAATTTGATACAAATTCTTTGCTCACTTTTCTCTGCCATAGTCACTGATGGTCTGTGGTGTAGTGAGACAACCACACTTTCCTTCCAAGCACTGTTATAAACAACAGATGTGAGCTAGAATGTTACAACAGTGTGCATGTGATAGAATTCAAGGTCACATTCTGTGTACTTTAGTTTCATTACCATAGCAACAGTTCCAATACTTTTTCTTTGATTTGACCTCATGTATAACTTTGTCCATAACTGACTGAATTTATTTCATGCAGTTATCAGAATATATGCCTAAGTGAACAAAAAAAAAACAAATTGCATAATTAACTCTGATGAAAGCTGACACCAAGCAGTCAAAATTAATAAGGCAGTAGATTTTCTATAAAAAGAAAAAAAAATTCATACCACAAACCTTTTTTTCTTTTTTTTTTTAAAAAAAAAAAATAAAAACACTAAAGGTTAATTAAAAAATTTAAAGAGAAACATTTAATCAATAATAGTTATAATTTTTTTAAAATTGCATTATCCCTTTCTGCAGTGCTAAATACAAAGAAAATATGACTTTCAATAATCAAAGTAATCAAGGAAAGAGTGTCTTATATTTTTCAAGGTCAGTCTCAGAATTATAGATTAAACACTCATGGTATTTAAATGAACAAAGATGATAACTGCTAGGGAAAAACATTTTCATGTTTTGTCACCACTTATTTAAAATTTGCAATCTCAGAAAACTAGAGAAGAAAAAAAAATAAGTAAAACATTAGAAAGGAACAATTATCAGCTCACCATCTTTCACTTCTCTGTTTTTGTAATCTTTCAGTTCTTCTAATTTACCTAATTTGTCATATTCTTCATCCGTTGATGTATTGTCTTTTAATTCTTCATTGGCATTTCTATAAAAAATTAAAATTAAAATGTCAATTAGTATGCAACCAGTAAGAAAACGAAAAATATTGTCTAGGGACTAATGTTCGTTACATTTCATGGATTTGTTTCTGCTATATTTTTGGTTAATACATTCAGTGCAATTCATAAAAAGATTAAGTTTACAGGAAAAGGAAAAATGTCTTTCAAGTCAATGGGTGTTCTGTGAGCTTGCAATAATAGAAATTTGAATTCTAGCAGCAAGTTTCTGTATATGAACAAAGGGTTAGAGTTACTTTGATAGCTTAAATAACTTGTTACAAAACATTATGAAGCAATATAAAAAGACCTGTTTAGGGGTCTTGTAATCAATGACCAGAAATTTTATTACTATTTGATTAGTGTGTTTTTTTTTTGTTTTTTTACACATTCTACAACTATTAAGTAAACAACATGGATTGGAAAATCAAATATTAATGCCTGCCATTTTAACTTGTGTTTTATCAATAAGGCTACAGAAGTTGACCAGATGTCATCATTCATTGAAGTTTACTTCTATGCTATATTTGCTGGACTCTTATTTTTGTTAATGCATCAGTGTTGGATCTATCAATTGACATTCCACACATTTACTGATCACTGCCTTAAAAGCTGCTTTCTATGCAGAAAAGCTGAATCTCCTCACAAGTTGTTCACATCACTCCAGGATGATGACTGTTTTGATGGATGTCCATTTTCTGGATAGGATTAATCAGGTCAGACTTGACTAATATCATGTCCATGGACAAAAATTACAGCCTAAGTGTTTACTCTTGTTTTATTGGTTAGTATATTGGAAATCCATCAAATCACACACAGAATTGGTTATGAAGTGCAGCATCATTGCTTGCGATTGAAGAGCCAGGTTTTTTAACACTGCATCAAGCTCAGCCAAATTAATATGCTGCACAATACACTGAACAAGCACACAACCTCAGTAATAGATGTGTCCACTTCCAGTGAACTAGTATCAACCATTTATTTTCTGCTCATGCACCAATTTTCTTGATCTGGGTCATTTCAATGCCCCTTAGTGAGGATTTCTGTTAGCATATTTTTAAGGAAAGTATCATCTGCTTTGTTAACTCTGTGCATTTCATAAATGAAGTTAATGACATACAGAAAAATTTTCCAAGTTTCCTCACCTAAGGAAAAGGTGCTTTGTCAGATGATATTGTGGATAACCCTCCTCCTTTACCTGATCACGTCAGACTCACACACCCAGTATGCTGGTACCATCTTCCAATCACTCTAAAATTTAACAAATACTTTATAACACACGTGGATCCTATATTTTCATTAAAATAGTTATCGTAAATATAGGTAGATTTTGCTTTCTGCTGGGTCTTGTTTGGTGACATCATGATAAATGATCAGGTTTTCTCCCTCCATTTTTATTATTATCCTTGATGCTACATAAAGATTAATTTCATTGGTGTCAGAAGAGGAGGTCAAAATATTTTAGATATGTGGTAAACAAATTAAAAAAAAAAAAACTAGTATAAAATTAAGCTTATGCCAATCAGTTGCAACCTTAAAATGTTTTCAATCAATAAATCATTTAAAGGATGTGGGAAGGAAAACAGAGGCAGGCTGGCTTCAGGCTTTGAAGTGACACTAACAGGATGAAGGACTGTAATACTGGCAATAAGAATGATTCTAGAAGAGAGAATGTACCATGATGAGGAATAATGTGAGCTATTATGAACTTCCTCTAGAAGTGAGGACAAAAGTCATATATAAGTGAATAAAAAGAAAATAGTGCCACGTCCTGAGGAGAGAAGGTTAACAACAAAAAGGTGGGGAGCTAGCATATCATTAAACTTTCAAGAACTGAACGGCTATGTGCTGTATCACTCAATGGGAAAGCAGTACAAATGTATGCAAAAAGACAAATGATGGAAACTTTGACAACTGTTGATTTGAAATCAGATACTCAACAGCTGCATGTGGCTAACAAATAGTTGAAATACCAACTAATAAGTTACAGAAGTAGAACATACTGTTTAACTAAGTGGGGGATTTGAATACAGTGGGGTTGAATAAGTGATCATACACATGAAAATATTTCATATTTTTATTTGTAACATATTAAATTAACAAAATGGGAATATATCTACTGTATCAGATTGCATACTAAAAATGTATGCATATAAAACTAAATAATATTCCATGGTTAAGAAAATATAGCAATATTTAAATTATTAGGGGGTTTAAAAAATGATCGTACAGCAGAACAAAAACATGTTTTCTCCATTTAATATTTTGTAGCAAAGCCTTTAAGTTCAACAGCAACCAATCTCTTCCTGTAGTCTTTAATTAACAATTTGCATACTTTAGTAGGTATTTTGTCCCATTCTTCCTGAGTAATTGTCTTCAGGTTTTTGATTTTTGTTGGACCTCTATCACGGATTTTATTTTTCAAAAACCGCCATAAATTCTCTATTGGATTCAAATCCGGCAACTGACTGGGCCATTGTAAGATGTTAACGTTGTTATTAGCAAGCCAATTCTTCATACTCTTAGCAGTATGCTTGGGATCATTGTCCTGCTGGAAGATCCAATCAGGAGGAAGCCCAAGATTCTCTACAGAAAGCGATAAATTTTTGCTTAGGATTTGTTGATATTTTTCTGCATTCATTCTACTGTCCTTAATTGCTAGTTTGCCAACAGCTCACATTGAAAAGCAGCCCCAAACCATGATACTACCCCCACCAAATTTGACAGTTGGTATGGTGTTCTTGGATGCATATGCTTCACTGTTTTTCCTCCATACATGATTCAGGGAATTGTGACCGAACAACTCTATTTTACTCTCATCTGTCCAAAGAACTCTTTCCCAATAAGAATTTTCCTTATCTTTATGCTCTGTCACAAATTTCAACCTGGCATCTCTATACCATTTCAGAAGGAGTGGTGTCTTTCTTGGGAAGTGTAACTTTATATCATCTCTGCGTAGTTCATTACTAATCGTTTGCTTAGTTACGTTAACTCCTAACAAACTCAGATCATTCTGAAGGTCTTGACCGATGGCCATTGGGTTATTTTGGACCTGTCGCATCAACTTTCTTGGTAATCTGGGAGAGATCTTCCTGGGAGCACTGGGTCTGCCTTTGTTCTCAACAGTATTACGTCTTTTAAATCTTGCAATAAATGAACCAATTGTTGAAAAAGGTATGTTCATGTCACTGGAGATGTTTCTGTAACTTTTTCCATTGTTCCATAGCTTAATAATTAGCTCTTTTTGAGCACAAGTCATTTCCTTATGTCTAGCCATTATTAGAACCGTTATCAGTGAACAGTGACTGCAGAATGATCCAGTTTTGAACTGAATGTTGCAATAGAGTTACTGAGAATATTCTAGAACAGTTTAGAATTTTCTACTTTGAAGTACAACCAAAATCTACTATGTTATAATGCAAAAATTGATACTGTACAAACACTTTTTCCACTATTCGAAATATAAAAATTTGCATAACTATCACTTATCAATGAATTTCTAATTTTAAATTGCATATTCTGATTCTATGCCCCAAAATACATATATAACATTGTTATTCGAGGTTTTCATTCACTATAAGTGAGAATAACAAGCATTTGTTTGCTGTACGATCACTTATTCAACCCCACTGTATGAAGAAATGTTAGGAGAAAGTTGAAATTGCTTGGATACTGAACAAGGTATTTTTTGAAGAAGGGGCCCCAGTGTATAGTACTACTGCCTTTCATTCAGAATCATTGAAAGAGAGACTTGATGATTAAGATGTCAAATGCTTTTTTAGATCTGCATATAGGCTGAGGTCAATCAATAACAGAATTGGAAGCAGACATCATCAAACAATCAAGACTTTGAGATCAAAGCAGGTGGAGAACTTGGTACCTCAGAGAAGAGCACTTAAATGACTTAAGACAATACCAATAACCACTGGGAAGGAAAATGACCAACATCTGTCCAGACTGGTGATGAAATGTGGGTAAAGCTCCCAAATGTATATTGTACAAAACATTAATTCCCAGAATAACTAAATTGATGGTGTGGTACATCATTTTCTAGATAGTTGTAGGATTATCAGCTCATCAGATGTGGAGGTAGTGATGACAGGCACAAATATTATAGTCTCATGAAGCTCACAGAGAGAGAGAGAGAGAGATATTCAACTAAGTGAACAAGTGATTATGAGAACATTAGGATGAAACCAGGTTAGTTTTGAATAGTCAGGAAACTGAGTGGAGAATATGGTGCATGAACAGAGGAAAGAAGAGAAAGTGTCAATGAAATATATGAGTTGAGAAAAGGAACAGAACTCAATTTCTGGTAGGAAGTCATATATCAAAAAGGTTTTCCTTCCTCTTAATCACCAGAACTAAGTGAACGTTTTTCTTTTTTTTTTTTCTTTTTTAGATAACAAAACATTTTTATACTGATAATATACAATAGACAGTTGGAATGAGAAAAAATGACAAAGATAACTTACAACATCTGTTTCCGAGGTTTCTTGCGTGGTGAGGCTTCAACACTGTTTGAAAGATTGGGTAACACTGATGGAGTGGACAAAATAGAACTTGAAACAACACCTTCAAAAGAGAGAAAAAATAGCACAAACTGTAATAGTTTAGAGGAATACCAAAATGAAACAAAAGTTTTTATTTACTTTTCCCATTTTAGTAATAATCTATAGAATCTTGAATTTAAGAAATAACAAAAGTAAAACTTCATAATGAGAAGACAAAATTTATGACTGATATCACAAAAATCAATGATGTAAGATTCTATCATTCTGTTTAATTAGAATTTTACCCAATCACAAATGGAAAACACCACAATATTCAAATTCTTGCAACAAAATTTTGATTACAGTAAAACTTGAATAAAAATTACAATTTATTAATTGAAGGCAACAAATTTGAAGAAAAAAAAATTTCTTCAAAAACCAGTTAACCAAGTTAAAACAATATTAAAGGTATAAATAGCATATCATTAAATATTTTTTTTATATAAAACTGTATATTTGAAAAGGAAATTTTTTTAGATTTAGGAATTCAAATCACACAAAAATCGCTTTGTCATTCAGAATTGAATTCCTCTGTATGCTCCAGACATAATTTTGCACTTAGCTAAAATGCTTTTCAGTTTACAAAAACTGACAAGCAACAATTTATCTCAGACTGTATCTGACATTATCAGTCACTTGTAGAAAGTACGTATTTATTGGCATTTAAAGGTTTATTTGTTGAATGTTAGCAACATTTATCTATGCAGTTAGGATGAAAATTGATCAGTTCTAAGCAGATGTAAACTCATTTATTTACATCTGCTTAGAAGTGAATTGTATGAAGTAATGTCAATTTTAAAATCTTAATATTAAAAACCACACTGCAAGTTTGAAGCTTTTCAAAAACCGCCATAAATTCTCTATTGTAAGGTTGCTTTCACCAAGAGAAATGCTCAATAATTTCACATCCAGGTTCAAGAAAAAAACCAAATGCTTTCAAAAATGATTTTTATGTATGACAATACTCCACATTTGGCTAAAAACAAATACCTGAATAAAATGGGTTTCAAAGAGACTTGTTAACGTTGCTGGCTTGTTCACCTGATTGTAACCCAATTGAAAACTTCTGGAGCATTCTGAGGAATGTTTATGTAAGTGGATAGTAACCAGCAAACCTAAACTTTAAAATGATATTCTGGATGTTGTGCAGTATGATTCATATGAAGAAATACAATAGCTCAAAAAAAAAAAAAAAAAAAAAAATGACTGAACATATACTAAAACTAGTTTCAGAACAGGAAGCCTGCATTTCACATGAATGTTGTCTTTATAATGATGCAGATTTCAGATTTTTGTTTAAAATATTTGTTTTTATAATCTTTGCAAATGTTCTGTAATTACATTTTTTTAATGACAAAATAATATTTTTTGTAGTTTAAGTGACCAGGTTAATGTTAAACTTGGAAAATATGGTAAAATTCATAAAACTATTTGCATTGTCAGAGTGACATGTCATCTACTATAACTTATGCATGTATTTGAAAGATTTCTGTGAATCACTTCATTAGTTTTCTAAAAATGAAAGCTAATAATGAGACACAGTGTATATCAATCCACATGAATGCTAGAATTGTAATCAGAGAGAAAAGCTTAAAATGATATCAGTCACTTTTCTGGCATTTGTTTATTAATTTTTACATTTAATGAGATAACAAATTAAAAAATAAATATGTTTTAAACATTTTATATATGGTCCCTAAAAATGTCACTTAAATCCCATAATCTTAATTCTATATTTGGGAGGAAAATGGCTATTTGACGTGAAAAAAAATATGCCAAGATTACACTTACCATTTTGTTCATGGCTGTCTGAACATTCTGATGGGTTTCTATTGTCAGATGCAGATGTTGGCACTCCAGTGCAACCAGCCTCTGTAGAAAGAGCAGTGTCTGTTGAAGATTGACTGTTGTCTCTGAAATAAACAAAAGTTATCATGTCACATGTATATTATGTGTTAAATAAAACAACAAATTCTATTGGTTTTATGTTCTGCAAAACAAAACACAATGAAAATGTAAACAATAATAAAAATGAAAGTAACAACAGTTACAAAATGTTTGATAAACAGTTTAATTATCAAAATGGTCAATGTTCTGTTTAAAGACTAAAATGGATACAACAAAATCACATAACTGTTGGCTTCACTATTTACAACAGACATTTACCATCGCCTTCAATTTTTACTCAATTTATATTCTTATTTGATACTTCTTAAAACTTCTAAAAATATTAAGAGAAACAATTCCTATTATGAAATTTCACTTACCCAGCAGGTGTCTTTGGAGAGCTGGTATTGGACTGTGGTGTTGATTCTTGCCGAGGGCTTTGAGTATTTTCAATAGAACTAGACTGCAAACCAAATGTTTTCTTTACACCAACAGCAGTGCTAAAATAAATATCAAAGCCACTCATCACATTTTATTGCTCACCAACTGACTGGATCAATAATTACTGACATTTCCCATTGAGTCAATATAGGAATGCAATATCTTTTCATATAATGTATAAAATGTATGTAGAATAAATATAAAATGGATAAAAGATTTTTGGAATATCTGAAATGTATAAACAGTCAAGTTCATTTATTTTTCAAAAATGAAAAAAAAAAAAGAAAAAAAATCATGAAAAAAGATTTTGTCAGTTCAGTTCAAATCTGTTGAGCTGCCTGGGGTTTCTCTTCACAGACTTCATGATTCTTGAAAATCTTAACTTTCCACCATCAAAACTATGCAATCATTCATGTCATTGAGTCAACTATTCTAACCAAGGGAGGAGGGAGGAGAGGCTAATATGTTGAGTTCCAAGAAGCTCATAATTCCAACACACTTGCCATTTGAATTCAAGTGTCTTCAATCTCCAGCAATGTTCAACTTTATCATAACTATCAATAAAGCACAAAGATAATCTTAAGATCACTGGATTCAATCTTTCTTTATGCTTTTCCTATGGCTAGTTCAATATTGGCTGTTCTAGTTTTGGAACCATAACCATAGTTATGTTCTAGTTTTTGGAACCATACTGGCACCCAATGCTAGAAGAACTATTGCATACACAGAATTTCTGTCAAGAGACTAGATTTGTTTTGTGCATCAGAATATGCTTTTAGTAATAAATAAATTTTCATGCAAATCTGTTTTGGTGTTGCAAATATTTTTATCATTTGCTGTGCTATGTAAAAAGAAATATATTAAAAATGTTTTACCCAAAGTTATTTTCACTCCACATCACAATGCTGTCCAATATTCCTGCTAGTTTATTTTATACACACAGACAAAATGGCTGTTGAAAGTATTTATATATTACACATGTTTGATAATGTTCATATCATTTCTTGATGGGATTAAACTTTTTTTTCACTTTTTGACAGATGTTAACCAGTATTTGGCCAATACCAGTTTAAATTTGGAGGTCAAGGTCAGTGAGATCATTCATTATTTGACATAATAGTGGTTGTAGTTTTGCCTTGTGTAACTTCCATGCATAAATGAAGCAAACAATACAATATTGTCTGTAGTAAGTGTATTAAAATTCAATTGTTGAAAGAGCCATCTAGCACTGAGCCGAGTTTCCCAATGTTATCATATCTGTGTCTTGTGAACTGTTTTATATCTGTTTTATATGGTTCCATTTGACAAGAAAATATATGTGCTGCAACACAAAAATGTATTAAACTTTTCTTGAAGTGGCATTCAGAAGTCACTTCAGTCTCCATTAACTAGAATGCCATTGAAAATTTATAGTATGAGAGCAAAACTGAAATTTAAAAATTAAATTTCATGAATATGGCATATTTATGGTTAACAAATTCAGCAAGTATAGAATGTGATTTCTCCAGTCATATTTAGACATCGTGTAGCCTTTATGTCCAGTTATTGCCAGAGGTAAAAGGAATATGTTTTAAATTAAATTAGCTTTAATTAATCTTGCATAATATGATTAAATTTTGAAAACTGTTCAACAGCAGCAAATTTTGTAGAAGGCTAACAAATAATGTTTAAAAATGAGTAAACCTAAGATTATATGGACATTATATGAACATTGAGAAGTTAAATAGTAAACCATAAGCATTTTACCGAAAATACACAAATGTCTAAATACTTTGACTATTTTTTCACGTGAGTTCTCTCAAGATAAAACAAATACTTTTAGATAAAAGTTTTATTACTAAGTATGTATTCATTATGATCATTAAGTCTCATATCCTGAGGACAAATCGGTAATGTGCAAATCATTTTAATAGGAGTAACTGCAATTTCAAACATTTATTTGAACTGGATTCTAAACAAAACAATCTACTCAATCCTTGCAAAGTTACTTTAATTTTAAAAAGCTTTCAACACTTACCCATCATTTGTTCTCTTGCGCAGTATACTGGGCCGTGGAGAGGAGTTGTTGCTAGAAAGTGTAACAGTGTTGTTGGCTAGGTTGCTGGGGGTTGGTTGCATGACATTACCAACTGCAAGAGAGTTATTCACACTCAAAATGCTCACATTGGTTGCAGCTGAACAACTGACTATATCTGCTGCAGATGTTACCACAGCTTGTGTTGAAATGGTGCCACCTGATGATATAACATTTAATAATTAACATGATCAGTCTTGACTTTTTTTTTGAAACTAAGCAAATAGATAAACAGTATAAGTAAGAATATTTGGGTGCTTCATTTCTAGTAATTAGCAAAACCATAATGAATTTTATTCTCACAGGGTACACCACACTTGTTTATGACTTTAAACCTTGATATTTCACAAGAATATGAAATTGCACAAGCAATGGCTTAATTAGGATAAACAGAATAAGTCACGGAATTCTTTTAGTGCTTGGTATTACTGTGTTGGTCTAATTCATTTTGAGTTTCTACCAGTCAATATTATGATTCAGCAGAGTTTCTAAACACTACCTTGAAGAAAAAAAAAGTGGCCCAGTTTGATCAGTTACAAAGATATAGTTCCATCATGATAATCTCTGAAAAGATTTAAGAAATCAGCTAGGAAAAAAATGTCACAGACTTCTTATTCTGCAGATCTTGCTATACCTGATTGCCATCTACCCTGGAGTTTTAAGAATTATCTATAGCTAGATAAAAAAATCCATGGAGAGAACCAGAAAATTACTAGATTCAATATTTTTTACCTCTAGACCAAAAGACTTTTATAGAAACTGTATTATGAATGTTGTGAACTTTTGGAGGGAGCTTACAGATAATAATTGAACAGATATGAATGAATAAATTGGGATTAAATAGAATTTTTAATCATTTTCATCAGATCCTAAATTGAAACTACTTATGAGCTAATAGTTGCAGATTTTATATTAGCTAAAATGTATGATATTCCAAAGAATAATGTCAATTACAATTCCTAAAGAAAATACATTGGAAATTTGAAATTTTTAATGATGATGAGCTGTTAATCCCATTTAAAATATTAGATTGGAACAAAAATTTATAGTGTTTTTCAATGAGTGGCATTGAAACACAGGATTTTGTTTTACATGTGACTGAAATTTATAACATATTCTGAAAGGTGACATTTCAACATCTTTCTATATGATCCATGTATGAACTGTAAATTCTAAGTGTTTTTTACATTAAAAATAAAAATGGGATGTATTTCCATCATTTGAGGATCTTTTTATTTCCACAATGAAAAAAAAAAAACAAACAAAAAAAAACACTGTAGAAACATCAAAAATGATATGTCATTTATGAAGATGGTAACATAGCTGAAAGTACTCTTCAGAAATGGAAATTTTAACCTGGAAGACTGAGAACATTTTGGCAAGCGTGCAGTCAATGATGATGAAATCAAAACACTAAAAGTAATCCAGGTCACATGAGATAGAACATTACAGAGAAGCTCCACATATTTCATATAAGCATTGTAAGGCATTTAAAAACACTTCGATATATGAATCACTACAATGTTCGGGTGCTTTACAAATTAACGTCAAAACATTTAATGAACTGCATTTCATCCATGATTCTCTGCTCAAACATAACAAAAACTACCTATTTAAAAGAAAACAAAATGATCACAGGTGATGAAAAATGGATTGTTTACAATAATGTGGAGCACAAAGGACTTGGGGAAAAAATGAGTCACCATTGACTACTCCAAAGCAACCAAAGAAGGTGATGTAGTGTATCTGGTGGAACTAGAAAGGCATTGTGTATTAAAATAATTTCTAAATTTATTAAGTTGATATCACTTTTTTCAATGCTGAATTCAGACAAATACTGTTTACAATTGAACCAATTAAAAGACAACAATCAATGAAAAGTGTCTGGAATTGGCCAATCTTCCATCAGGACAACCCCCAAATCTTATATTTCTTTGTAGACCCAACATAAATTGATACAGTTGGGATGTCCTACTACACCTGCCATTCTCATTTGACCTTTCACTTTCAATTTACCACCTATTTGAATTCCAACAAAATCTAAAGGGGAACAACTTCAATTCTCTGAAAGCCTAAAAAAAAAAAAAACACTTAGAGCAGTTCATCACCCAGAAAAATGCCAAGTTCTAGGAGGAGGATGGAATCATGAAGCTGCCCCCAAAATAACAAAAGGTAGTGGAAGAAAATGGCATATATATATATATATATATATATGATTGAATGTAATCAAAATATTGTCTTTGAAATTCATTTAATAAAGTCTATGAACTTTTGTTCAAACCCAAGAGTTTTCAAAATGATTGCAAATTTTTTTTTAACAATTCAACCTGAAAATGAAGAACAATTAGTTAAGAAACAAGCCCCAAAACATACAGCTGCCCAGAAAATCCATAAACTGAAACTGAGGATAAGGATAAAACTGATGATCCTGCATTGATGAATGTGCATAACCAAGAGCAATTAGAAAAGATCTTAATTATGAATAAACCTTCCACATTTGATTTCAACAGAATTTAAGATGCTTTACATCTCAGATGAGTCCTTGTCCTTCTCAAAAAGTTATGTACAACTGATCTCATTCTTTTTGTTGTTTTCATGCTGTGGCCAGTCTATATTAGGGCCTTTTTAAGTGTATACTCCATATTAAAAAAGAGAAAAGATCTATTTCCACCCACCCCCAGCTTAACCATTATCTGGTTTTCTTTATCCCACTATAATTAAAAAAAGGCTCCCTGCCAATTTCTACCAGGATTTTACACCTGAAAAAGGTAACATGATGGCCTTTTTAATAACAAAAAGAAAGATTCAAACAACTTCTTGACATATCATATACATATTAGTTAAAAATACAGATGAAATAATTCAACTTCAAAAACGGTTCCAAAATAATTCTGTCCTTAAATTCACATATGAACTCAATACTAATAATAAAATCCTCTTCCTTGACATATTGATAAAAAACAAATAATAACAAATTTACTATTTCGCCATACAAAAAACCTACAAGCATAAATTCATGTACACTTAACTACAAGAGCAAATGCCCATATTACTACAAAATAGCAATTATAAAGAAATTAATTCATCCACAAAACAGATTTTTTACAGTGAACTAAAGAATATAAAACAGACACTTATTAATAATAGCTTTCCAAACTATATAGTTGATGAACAAATAAGATGCTTTCTTAGAAATCTCAATAATAAGCAAATTGTACATAATACTGCTTCTACTGATCTCAAATATATTAATCTCCTATATTGTAATCAAATGCATACTAATTATAAACAAGATGAAAATATACTAAAAAATTTAATAAGTTCTAATATATCAACTACAGATCCTAGCAAAAAAAATTAAATTAATCATATACTACACTAAATCTAGTATATCCAACTTAATACTTCGCAATGATTCTTCTCCCCGGTTAGCGATTTGCAAAAAAACCAACATAGTTTATAAATTCAAAGTGCCCTTTGGGAGAGTGTATCTCCAACGAATTAAATAATATTTATGTTGGTCACACCACAAACTCGCTTTCACGACGCTTGACACTACATTTTAATGAAAACTAACATTTTTAGGCATTTAAAACAACATGCCTGCCCGCACACACAATTCCATAAAATACTTGTCGAAAACACAACTATACTTCGACATGAAAACAATAGACAAAAACTAAAAATACTTGAAGCATTATACATCAAACAGTTAAAACCCAACCTAAACAAAATCAATTATGGCATCTCTACAAATATTCTTAAATGTCTATAATTGGTAACAGAAGCCATTGGTTTATATCAACGGCTTTCCTTACTTCATTCTCCAATTCACTCTCGTGTGGTCATGTGTGACGTCATGAGATGCGGTGTGATTTTCGCTTCTAGGGTCTTATATGCACGTGTTTATCATTGCTTAGAGATTATCTATGTAAACAATGACAGACTATCATCACTGTCGTGTCCGTATATTGTTTAATATGTTTGTAATTTACATCTTTGATAATGGCTTAAGTAAGCCGAAAGCTTAGATTATATTAAAAAAATATGGATCAATATTGTGAATTTCTTTCTTCGTTTAATGATAATGTTATCAAACTTATCAGATGTTACGAACAAAATTTACATAAAATAAATAGACAACACTTGTCTATATTATTTAATGAAACATGTATGTATATATATATATATATATATATATATATATATATATAGAGAGAGAGAGAGATAAGCTGTATTATATATTACTTTCATTTAAAACTATAAATGTAGAATCTGATGGAACATTTTTTGCTTCAGGGCTTTTGTTTTTTCCTAAAATTTAAATTAAGCCTTTCTGAAAATTCCCTTGCTAACCCTTGTTTTATATTGCCAAAATGGATAACAATTTTTAAGTGAGCTTTTCATTAGTAGATTTATCTGTCATTTTGTTTGTATTAAAGGATGTATTCCTTTATTTTAGGTATGTGCATGAGATCGATAAAAAAAATAGCATACCATGAATAAAAAAGGTCTTAAATTTGATTAAAATAATTTTTTATCGTATAAATGTTAATGTTATTATCAAGAGGAATGATCAAAGTATTTTTTGAATATTTTTTTAAATTTTTTAATAATTTCTAGCACGTCCAAAATTTTCGTTAAAAATCTTCAATTTTTTTGAATCAGAAAAAATCGACAGAAGATCGATAATCTCCGTTGTTTTTGACGTTTGTTTACAAAAGTGAATGTTGCCATTTAAAATTTATTTAAAAATCAATTATGATTTTTTTTAACTAATTTAAAAAAAAAATTAGAAATTAGAAAGTTTATTTAGTATATTTTGAAACAAAGATTGCTTATTTTCTGTGATGAAAACATGTTTTTTTCAAATGGGAGAAAGCCGATCTGAACTGCGGTGTTGATTGACAAATGACAAGTGCGTTTTTTTCATCACGCACTGACATATTACGTGCGGAAATTTATAGTACGGAAGGTCGTAAGTGACAATTTATCTTTACGTTAACAACTTATTTACCTCGTTATTTTTAAGTAGTCATACCATGAAAAAAACGGCCTTAAACTTGACGAAATCAGAATTTTATTACCAAAATGTTTATGTTACTATTATGGGGGAGAGAACAAAGTAATTTTTCATTATTTTTTTAAATTTTTCTGTCT